TTGCATGTCCTTTCTAATAGCATTTTTTTCCTTTTTTTTTCGTACTTTTATTTTTATTGCTCATGGCTTCACAGAAGTTCTTTAGCTTAATTTTAATGCTACTCAATTAGTGATATTGCAAAAGTGTTATTGGGCACATCTGTCTGCTTTTACATTGCCTGTCTCAAGGGTTGAATGTGTGTATTTCCTATAAAAGTAATTGTTGAATGCTCAAAGTGTATCAGGGGCTTCTAGCTAAATACACATTTCTAGAAAATTAAGTGACTAGACAGTTTTGCAATATTACTAATGTAGAAAATAGTCTCTGTAGGGCAGTTCTCATATGAGTAGACTAATGGATAATATAGGTGAACATTTACAGTGAAATAGAGCATTAAAGTGTTGGATTTAGTATAAGTTTATACTTGGTATTTCTTACTTAACCTATTTGCATGAGCAAGACTATATCTCTTTTTTTTTTTGATGGAACTTATGCCTTGCATGTTACCAAAATTAACAAAGTAGTATACCTCAGTATTTAATGCCATTGCTACAGCTTCCTTTTAAAAACATTAGCAAGGTGTCTTAAAGTAATTATCCATGTGCAGCTACTGGTTTAGCAATCTTTCATGTAAGCAAACGTATTAAAGTACGATTTGTAGTGAGATCTGTTTGAGAGAAAAATTGTGCTTGCAGCTTTGTGTTGGAGATGGGGGCTAAGCAATAAGTATTTTTAAATTCAATTGTTTAAAATGCATGCTTCATGGAAATAGTGGTGGGTATTCTTTTGTTGTCAGCATCAGCAAGAACATACATATGCTGAGCTAGCATCTCAGAATCAATCATACTGTGGATTTATTATTAAATAAATTCTGTAGTGTTGTGATTTTTGGTATGGATTTACTCCACTGGATTGTATTTTTTCATATAATATTTCTGTTCCACTTAGAATCTGCATGTTGTACAAAAGAGTATCGTGAGCTGCTCTTTCCCTAAAATTAGAGTAGATATTGCCAGGGTGGGTTTTTTCTTGTTGTTTTCAAAGCTCTAATGACATAATTTCATTTAATATGTAAAAAAAACCCCAAAATACATTTAAATTCTATATTTTAGTGATTTTTTTATTGTAAGCAAAAGAGTATTTATTTATTTAAAATATGTAATTATTGATAACAAGTTTGCATGGTAATTAAGTGTTTAAAATAACTGTTAAAACAAAGGCATGTATGCATAATACAAACCCATGTTGGAGATGAATGTACGCAGTAGTATGGGAAGACTCTTGAAGTTGGGCTGAACTCACTGTTTCTATCCAAAGGTGCAGCACAGAGTATATGGAATCATGGAATCATTTAGGCTGGAAAAGACCTCTTAAGATGATCGAGTCCACCATTAACCCAGCACTGCCAAGCCCTACACTAAACCATGTCCCCAGATGGCACATCTACCCATCTTTTAAATCCCTCCAGGGGCAGTGACTCCACTGCTTCCCTGGGCAGCCTGTTGCAATACTTGACAACCCTTTCAGTGAAGAAATTGAAGTGTGGGACCTCAAAAAATGTAGAAAATATGAATTGCATCTCTTATGCTGAGTTCTGCCAACTGACAGTGATTGGTACAAAATATGCTTTTAAAACTAATTCCAAGACTTGGCATATTTCTACTGGCATTAGGCTGTGAGAGATACTACCTTAGCTACAGTTTTAACTGTTGACTTACAGTACTATCAGAAGATAAACCATTCACTAAGAGTAGTTAAGCAGAGAAAACCAAGTAGAAAATATTGAAGAAAATAGTTAAAGAGGAGTATGGAAATATCAAAGTAAAGAAAGAATGTAAATCTTTTTTTATTGTGAAATCAAATGCAGCTTTAAGTTAATATTTATTAATGAATAAATATACTTCGTATTCAGAACTTTTAATTTCTTTTTTGTTATTCACAACTAGGCCAATGGAAAAAAAACCTGCAGTGAGACAAAAAGATTAATATTAATATTAATATTTTTTCCACTGAATGTACTACAGTATCGTCCTACTTCCGCTACTGCATTTGTTTGATCACATGTATTCACATTTGCTTCAGTAACAGCAATGATAGTTTATATGTTTGGGGTTTTCTTTGGTTACTCTCCACATAGAGAACCACAGATAGGTAGGAATCCATTTTTGATTACAGACTTGTAAGCCTGAGATTAATTAAAATATGCGTTCATTGCTGTGAAACAAAAATTGTCCGGATGAGATTTTAAAAATGTAAATACAAAGGTGTTGTCCTTTTTCAAGGTGTTATCCAGGGAACAGTTAAATCACTAGGAAATTTCTCAATGAGACTAATTTGTCTTCATCCTCTAATAGAAGAAAATTAGCTGCTGGGCTTGTCAGAGATAGCTGTTTCATTGATAAAGAATCCAGAAAACAAATATCAGACCTCTGAACTCCTCCTTTCTTCTCCTCTTCTATCCATACTGACCTTAGCACTAGAGAAGCTTCATATGTGTCATGAAAATGCAGGTGAGGTAGAGCAGCCATGTTGGTGTCTTTGGTGATGTGAATCTATCCTTTCAGTGAGAGAGACCAAATTATGCATGTATCTGTTATTTGTGTGGGCTGTAAATACAGACAGGTCAGAATGTAGACAGGGGTCTATGGGAAAATTAATTTTTTCAGATATTTGTGTTAGGTAATGACACTCCAGAATCCTGGAAATTCCAAAGACAAAGTGTAAAACATGATGCAGTTTAAATGGAAGGAGTCTCCTGACTGGTTTAGTTGTGAATTGCCGTGTGAGTGAGCACGTAGAACACTAAAGGGCCCCGTATAGGTGCTGATTTGATTTAGATGTCCCTGGCGACAAGTACTGCTGAAAAGTTTGATTTATCCATCATTTCATGGACTGGGTATACAAGTCGTGTCTGAACTGACAAAGGAAGTGGTTTTCCGCAGTCTCATATAGCTACATCTGTTACTTTTACTGTATAATCCGTTTTTACTTCTTTTTTTTTTTTTTTCCTCAAGAAGGTGATAAAGATGCATGGTGTCCAAAGGCTTTTATAGCTTTGAGCTTAAATAATTTTACTAAAAAAGCTACTCAAGTGAAGGAAGTTTCACTTTCACATTTGTGATCTACTTCCTATTAAGTGAGCAATAATTGTGGGAGTAACCAATTAAGGTTAGGTGGCAATAGCTTCTATATTTGTCAATATATTGACACTTTTTGGAATATGATTTGGAATTCACCCTATTAGTTCCTTTATAACTTTTGTGCTGTCTTATAATGATTCATTGCCATTAAGAGCAATTAACCATAATCAGAATAAGCTGTTAAGAATATATTCTTTATTTTTCACTGAAAGTATAGCAAAGATTTACACAATTAAAATTAGCTTTCGTGAAGAGGCTTTTCCAGCTTAAAGTGCCTAAATAATCATTCCATAAATGTAGAGTGGAAAACATGAATGGATTTAGGAAAACATAACTGATTATATAGTAGGAACACTTCAGTGAACACTTATTGTAGATTGTCAAGATGACAGCAAAATTGCAAAATGTAGGACTGTGTGGTAACTGTAGGTATTTCTCAGGAGTGTTGTGTTATGGAAGAGAGAAAAACATCACACATCACTATGTGCTGCATAGAAATTTCTAGTATGTGTTTCTTGCAGACACTTTGAATGCCTAACCCCTCCTTAGTAAGAATTGCTCCTTCAGCTTCAGCTGGCTATTTAATAAGCTCTGAGGGCAGAACAAACCATTGAAGTCCTGACATTGACATATTCTGTCAATACTATCTTACATTTAATTGTGGTTCTATTCTGTCTATTACCTTTTTCTCTAGTTGTCTTAGGCTGTGGCAGACGGGTGGAAGTGTGTATGTGATGGGACACTCACAGAAGGATTCATTGTGTGTTATTCCTTACCAGTAGAATAAGAACATTAAAACTCAATCTCTCTGTTAGCAATTCAATATTAGATTAGAAAGTCGAGAATAAAGTTTTATCTTATACAAGGTCACCACTTACTGTCATATCTGTTCCCAAGCAGGACCCCATATATTAAATCTTTTATCTTAGTCATAATGCAAACTTCAATGAAAGCATAATATGATCATCAAGGTAGGTTCAGAGTTACTTTGTAATAAAGAAAGACTTTGAGTGTACTGTGAATGTTTGCATTCTGGTATGATGAGGAGATGTACTGACACATTTCCCAGAGAGACATTATTAAGTTTTGAATGCTTGGTTGGGAAAAAAAGATGGCTCCCCAAACAAGGTAATAAATCAAATAAACATGGGAAGAAAAAGCAAAAAGAAAGCTCAAGGTTTGGGAGTGTGAAGATTTGTTTTGAGGTGAGAATCTCTGAGGCAACAAGAGTGGCCGTGAGCAGACCATTGTGGAGAGAATTACTTCAGCCACTGAGCTTAACATGGAGTACAGTAATGATGATGTTCCTGTGACTCTCCTTCTGTTCAAATTTCTGAAGCTTGTAAAGTTGCCTGTTTCTTGCTTCTATGACATTCTTGTTGTAGACTAGTAGTATTAACCCTGTTTAAATGGTTTCAAAGTTTTCTTTTTGTTCGCTTTTGTCAAAAGGAAGAATTCAAGTTATATTAGATATTTTACCAAACATGTGCAATAATACTTTAGACATTTAAAACTAAATGAATTTTGTCATTGGTTAGGATTTCACCCTGACCAGAAAATACCTATTATTGATAATTTTTTCTCTTGCGCATTGAAACAGTAGATTTTAATGGCTATTCTCAGACTGCTGTTATTTATGGTGTGGAGGAGAGCCCTTAATGACACAGGAATAGTTGTTAACTCTGCAGAAAATAAACTAAGTGATGTGCTAGTGAAATTTCCTGAAAAAAACCTTATAATTGACATAGTAATAGATATATATTTTAAGGCAACTTGCAGGAAATATGTTTAGGATGAAGTATTAAAATGTATGAAACTTCCTTTAGTTCTAAAGTATGATATGGGTGAAGAAATCTCACTTTTCCATTTTGATTTTACAGCTTGCACATGCAGCGGACATGCAAATATATGTCACATGCAAACAGGAAAATGCTTCTGCACAACTAAGGGAATCAAAGGAGATCAGTGTCAACTGTGAGTACAATTAAATTTAGCCCAAAGATATTGCAATTCATGACTGGTGTATAATCACTTTTTCCCCTGGTTTTGGTTTTTGTTTTGTTTTGTTTTTATTTTATGTTTGACCTGACAAATGGTCAAACAGTGGTGAATCTAATGTTCCTTACATTTCTTAGGAAATTTCAGTATTACTTAGACTTTTGTTAAGAATTACATCACAAATACTAGTAATGTTTTGCAGATACTACAGACTTAAAAAAAATAAGTCAAGAGAAACTGGATAGCTCTCTGTAGTTGTCTTTTTTTTTTTTAGGTTTATAAAAAATTATATTAAGTAAAAAATGTATGTGAAATAGGTAATTATAGTCAGTACATTCTTATCTTGATAAGAATCTACAGTTATAAGATTTTTAGAGTTTTGGAACCTCACTAAAAGTGTACAGTGTTTCAGACATTTCCCCACATCTTTAAAGCTAGACCAGAGGAATGTGTAGACCTGTCATGGAAAGTACAGTTAGTGTATCTTGTTTTGTACTGGAATAGCTTATTGTGCTTAAAGGAAGAGTTAAAATAGATAAGTAGAGCATAAAACATAGAGTACTAAGAACAATAACGTACTGAAGTGGAGCAACTTGTCAAGTAGGAGAAATAACACATTGAAGTTAATTATGAACAGCTTTAAAGATGTTTCTTTCAGTCCATTCTATCCTGTTATTCCATAGAAACCTTATTCCTTTCACAATTGTAGTTATTTTAATAGTATCTGGCAAAAAAGTTATCTTAGCAATGTTGGTTAGAACTGGGGAAAAAGCATATAAATACAGCTTATTCCTTTCCAGCAGGAAGAGGTGCCAGAAGGTTGTGTTCTGCCTGCCACAAGGCATCTGCTTTGACCAGATTTGTGAATTTGTCTTTGATACACTTAATGAACTGGCTTCAATCCTACCCTTAACGCTTTCCTTGATAAATAGGCAAGAAACAAGAATTTCTGGTGCAGAGGCTGTGTGTATATTCGTGAGAAAGCTGTGTTGGCAGGTGTACTGTTTCTGTGCCACCTCTGGGACTTTCTGTCCAGGCAGTTGAAGAGTCTTGGGATGAGACAGGAAATCAAGATTAGGACTAAGTGATGCATTTTTATAATGACAAAAGCTGGAGTGATAATATCTTTAAACTCTGAATTAAGTCTTCACTAAGTTTTTTTCCCCTCTTTTTGTGTCTAAACAGTCAGTTCTAGATGCTAATGAGTGGTTTGATTACCAGCATGCTGTGAACTTATATCAATGCCATTCTACCTCTTTACAAAGAATGGGAAGAAAAAACCCAGCAACTACTCCTCAACCTGAACCACAAACCCCAGTTTGTTTGCTCATAACTCCATTTCTCTATCAACTACCCTCCACTTAAGGCATTTTTTATAGACCTTTTCCCTAGTCTGTATTTCATGTACCTATGTTGTTGTTGTTTTCCTTTTTCTTGCGTCCATTTCATCGTTGGTTTTTCCACTCTCATGTGGAATTTTGACTCAATTTTGACTCTTTCTCTTTAGTTGTGCTGCTCAGCTGTATCAGTCTGCTGTCCTGAGTTTGTCTCTTGTACAAAGATTCATTTACTGAACTAGAAAATGTTTTCCCAGTTATGAGTTTTCCTGGTCAGCAATTACAGCAAATCCACAAGACATAAGAAATGGAAATTTGAATTTTGACTTTTCAAGGGTGAACTTAAAATTGCAATTGCAGACTGAAAATCCCTTGTTATTTTTACACTGAAAATCCCCGGTTTTGTCACATCTGATACAATCCCCTTCTAGATTCATACGTAGATAAAAGTCTTATCTGAGGCAACCTGTGATGTTAAAGCATTTGATATTCCAAATGTTGGGAATGTTGATATGAGGTATTTTTTACTTATTCATGATGAACCCAGTCTTTGAGTTTTCAGTTTTTGTTAAACTTTGGTGTGCCGTTTACTCCATTACCTGGGATGTTTCAAGGGGAATTCCAGCAAAATCTGTAGGTCTTGGTGGGTTTAGCCACTGCCTCTTATGTAACTGCCTGAAAATTTTAGCTTGCTTCTATAAGGACAGGTTACAGCCCTCAGCTAGTTCTCAAAGTGCTGGATCATTAGGTTTTTAAGGAGAACAATAAAATAAAACTCCCACTTCAACATTAAATATATGTTGTAAATGTACTAATTTTCTGCTCTACATGTAGTAGTTATTGCCAGATCTATCAAGGATTTGAGATACTTTTTTTTTCTGTAATTCATGTTTCTGGCATCAGTCATTTTTGCTTAAATTGCAGCTTTCATTTAAACAATATGTCTAATATCAAAGCTTCAGGACATGACCCAAATGCGGTCTAATGGCTTAAACTCTCAGAAGGCACTTGAAACATTTGAGATCTAAAATTTGAAGAAAAATAAAATGTGGGGTTTGGCAGTATTGTATGTCAATCTCAGCCTTTTTGTTGATTTTTTTTCTTTTTTTTTTTTCTTCTTTCTTTTTTTCTGCAGTAGGCTCTTTTTCTCTGCTTTGGTATATTCAGTATATGATATGTAAAGTTCATGAGGCTCTCTGGGATCTTTCAGAGTTGCAGGCTCTCTGTAAATGAAACTACATTTTTTGTAACGATTGTTACTTCCAAACATTACATTTTATTCAGGAAATTGCCCAACTTTGTGAAGATAGAGAAGAACTAGTATCATTCCTAGAAGGTAGTGTTCTTAGGAAAGAAAGGAGAATGAGGTAGTGGCTAAGGGAGCAGCTGCAAGCAACTTACAGAGACATTTTGGTACTTTATTGTGGGTCAGCTGTGAACGTGTGAGATCTGGAGGATACTGCAATATTGGTATTGCAATGTAAAACTGGCTATGTTAGCAAGATATCTCTTGCCAGAAGCTGCATTAAAAATGATACCTGTGATTTTCTTAGGTGTTCCGTTCCCATGAAATATGCCTTTTGTCTTTTTGAGTTCAGTACTAATTATCAGGAAAACAGGAAGTGGCTTGGGCATGAGGGTTTGTCTTTCATGAGAATTAAGTAATTTTGCTCTTGGTTTCTAACTTAAGATCTTCCATAATTGACTGTATGCACATATAAATACGTCTTTTGATTTGGCAAGCTCAACAGAACCAGAATTCTCTCACCACTGGGATTCAGTTTTTTTCTAAGGTTTTTCATAGTCGTTACTTCCTCTTCAGGCTACTTCCAAAAATGCAAAGTGCAGAGCAAAACTGATCTTTGTTACAACTTTTCAGACATTCTTGGCTGTAAAATAGGAATGCAAGCAGTGTCCCTGTCTCTTCTGCCCAACTGGTTTATGTTATTACGCATGCTGGATATAGATTTAATTAAGTTATATCTGCTTGGTTTCCTATTTGAAAAATATACTGTGCTGGATTTTCTTTCAAAATAAGTGAATCAAAATACCTTGTTTATAAAAATTGTTCCTCCAGTGCCATGGCCATGCCATTCAGTGATTGACATTTGAATAATCTGGTTTTTTTGGTGCACGTTATATCAGTGAAGCAGTGGAACAGGGCAGGCTGCCCAAGTCTTTCACAAATGACATGCCAGTGAGACCCATTTTGAATTCCACTGCTCAGGATGCATTTGTTATAAAATGCTAGTAATTTTTGGTGCCGAGTGTTGCTATAGTTGCAGTTGTGTAGGGATGTACAGGTAAGGTAATGCTTCTATGTGCTATTTTTATTATAGTAAAGTAGCACAACTGAAAAGAATAGATAAGTTTGCAAGGTCTGAAATAGAACCATAAAGATTTGAAGCTAAATATAAGCTGCAGACAATCATTCTGTCCTCAGTTAGATATTGAGTCTGGACTGAGATGAATTTAGGAGTGGGAGTGATGCTAGTGTTTACCTATACAGGAAAAAGAGAAACAGGCATAGACTGTGTCCCACTGGAGAGTTACTGGGAAGAAGAGAAGAAGGGAGGTCATGACTACCATAAAATTGCTTTATTGTTGAGCCTGATTTTCTGTTATCCAGCAAAGTTATAACCTGAGTTTCTATGCTTGTTTTTAGAAAGAAGGAGGGGACAAAGGGCCTTGTTGGTTAGGCTGACTTTACATATTGCCCAGGGCTACCTTTAAAGCAGAATTGCACGTATCTGCATAGCATAATGTTTTGCCTTAGTCTCAGACAGTGTCAGAATAGGTTGCAAAGACTTACAGTTTAAGGGATTTCCCCTCACTTCCAGTTTAAGCTGTTGAAAATGATGGGGCTGTGCTGCATTGCATCCTTCAGGATGTGCAGTGAAGACAGCTGGGAATGCTCCTCTGCGTCCAGGACTAGAACTGCAGTTAAGAGTTAGTGAGGCTGAGTAATATCAATCACATAAGCCAGAAATCAGTATGAACAACTCTTCTTGTAAAGCACCAGCCCAATGGGAGAGGTGCTTGCAGTTGCACCATCCCTTGGTATTGCTTGAGAAAATGTAAAGAGACTGGAGAATTTCTTGTAAGATAGTGCTGTTCAAATTCCAGAAAAAACTTCTAGGAGGTTGCTGACAGTGGAGAGCAAGTTCTTTGCAGCATATGGTTCTACCAGCCATTTGTCTCTCCTAATCTGCATAAACATAATACCCCCGTAGTCCATTCTTTGTGTCCATATAAAATGCTGGGGTCTCCAAAAATCATGAATACATTTAGTTTGATTATCATTGTCACTAACTTGGTTAACTCTGTTAACCACAGATATAATTATTCTGTTCTTTTCATGCTGCTGGGTTGGATTATAAACTGTCATTATTCATGGGAGCCATTATTAACCTCACAAATCATAAATTGCCATGTATAGGATAGCATTTGTGAATCACTCTAGCAGAGTACTTTTTACAGTTCCTTATTAATGAACTGCTGTGATAAAGCCAGGCCCTGTGTGCCTGATCTAACCATTTTACATCTTCAGTATTCACTCTTACTTGCTGTTGGATTCCAGGTATTTTTCAGATAATAACAGCTTGTCCAATTGTTGTCTTGTATGTCTCACACCTGCCC